ACGGGGCAGTGGGAACCTGGCAGGGATGGGTTGCTGGCTGGACCTGGTCATCTCAAAGACCCTTCCAACCAAGGCAGTTCTGTGCCTCACAGTGAGACAGGCAGCTGTGACTGCAGAGCTCCACAGAGCTGTGGCTCAGGAAAGCTGCTCTCCTCCCCTGGTGCCTTCTTTGCTTTCTGCAGTGATAACCACACAGGCCAGGGAGACCCACGGCCCACCTGCAGTGAGATGTAGGTGCTTGTGTAGCAGTGCACCAAGGCATGAAAAACCAATGCAGGACACGGGCAGGCTCGGGGACTGGTGTGAGGTGGTGTCAAGCCTGTCAGTAAACAGCTTAACATTTTTAAAAGGGTAGAACCTCCTCAGTGGCTCCTGCTCAGCAAGGAAGCTCTGAAGCAGAGCAGCTGTGCTTGAGGCAGAGAAGCACCGTGCAGGTCTGCTGGAGATCTCCAGTACCCCTCAGCTTGTCACACTGGAGCCTCACAGCACAGCTCTGTCAGACAGCACCACGAGCCCCAGTGAAACCCTCCTATTTACTCAGCTGAGTTCAGCTGCTTTACAGACTGTACTGGAAGTGCAACTTCCCCACACACATGTTAGAGACCTGTCTTCTTTTTCTTGATTGATCCTGACTTGTTCTGGGCACCCACAAAAAAGTTCTCCTTTGTGCAAAACCTGAAGAACACTGCTCATACTTGATACTGGGTATCTTATCTTATAACTTTTCTTGATGGCTTAAAAGTTGGATCCAGTTGTTTGCTTTATGAGAAACAGTGATGGACCCACAGCTAACCAAGGTTCCACTGCAGACAGGGATTCTCAGACATCACTGTCTGACATTTTCAGTCTCTAGGATCTCAGCAATTAACTAGAAGCTGTGACAGCAGTATGAGCTGCACTAACATGAGGTCAGTGAGAAGAAAGAGAAGTGGAGGGCAGGGAGGCACTGGACTCCATGGCACCCTTCTCCACAGGCAGCACCAGAAGGCAGGTCGCTGTCCAGGTGCACAGCAGAAGACATTTGTTTTCAGGGGTGTTGGTGGGGTGTCTTTGTTACCAAGGTTAATCTGATCTGAGCTTTTGCTTATGAACAGAAGCAATAGTTTAAGATAAACTTATCAGCACTGGGACTGTCAGGCTGAACTGGGGAAACATCAAACACATCAGGAGTCCCACAGTAACTCTCTCCCTCACCAGGACCAGCAGAAGAAAAGCAACATGTGTCTGTGGATCAGAAAACTTTTACCTGGGATGCCAGACAGTGAGGAGACTAAATTACAAGGTGACTACAAATTGCTGGCACTCCATTTCCCCACAGCACTACCACCCTTATTAAATTATACGGCATACGTAGAACCTCCCTTCCCATTTTTTGCTTCCAATACAGCTCCCCCAAACCAGACCAAGTCTTCCCACAGGAGGGGGACACCGCTTACCGTCGGAGGCGGTGCAGCGTGAGGCCAGCTCCCAGAGGACCAGTCCCATGGCATACATGTCTATCCTCAGGAAGGCATCCCTTTGGAAGTTTATAGCACCTTCCAGCACCTCAGGAGCCATGTACCGCCGGGTGCCCACCTGGAAGGACAGCAGAGGAGACACTTGTACACTTAAAAATCCAGGGGACCACAATTAGCACTCTCATTCATGCTGATTCTAATCATATTGTGCTATATTTTTATCATGGTTATCCTTGCTTAGGACTAAGTCCAGGAAGTCTCTTGTCTTTTCCTATCCAACAGCAGGCAAGAGGAATTAGAAGGGATACTTACAAAGCAGGGATAAAAAATAAAACATTAAAATAACACATTTGCATAACAATTGAACATTTTTTCACTGCCATCTCTTATCCAGTTGCAGTTGGCCCTGCTCCCTGCACAGGGGCTGGACTACATGACCCTTAAAAGTCCCTTCCAACCCAAACTATTCTATGATCCTGTGATTTTCTTCCAGCAGGAAGGCCACGATTCTTATTTTTTCATCTCATGAGGATATGACAGGAAGGCCATGATTCTTATTTTTTCATCTCATGAGGATGTAAAACATGATTGTGTTTCTGCCCATGACAGGAGCAGAAATAAAAATACCCAAGGAAAACTAGTTACCAAAGTGCATCTCAAAACTGCAAAATCCCTTGCACAAAACTCCTACAAGGAAAACCAGTTACCAAAGTGCATCTCAAAACTCCTGCAAAATCCCTTGCACAAAACTCCTAAACAAAAATGTTGGGCGTGTTTATTCTCTGTGACCACAGTCAGTGAGGAAATTATGTCATCTGAACCAAGCAGAATTACATGATGTCTGAACAAGATCCACTCCACTACTTAAACCTGCATGATAATAGCTATGTTTCTCTCAAGTGGTGGGATTGAGGTTTTATAATCTTTATTGCAAGGACTTTATTTTTGTCGCTCAACCATAAACTGTGAAGTTCTGCCTAAAATTACATAGATTTAGTTTTCCAGAAGCCATAATGCTCTAAGCTCAGGCTTGTTATTTTAAAAGTACATGGTACTAAAACAGTTCTCTGCTGTATGGCATCATGCAGGCTGTTGTCATTTCAGGAAAGTCACTGTTGCTAGGTCAGAAAATTAAAAACTGGCTGCTGGTGTCACTCCTCAATTTCTAAACAGTGTATTTCAGAATATTTAGTAAAATAAAGCAAGACCACTTTTTCTTGTCCAAACCCTTTAGTAAAGAATTAAAATAAGGTGGGGAAAGAGGCCAATGTAATGAGATGTGGGAAGGGGGAGAGCTGTGATCTGTTATTATCTAAAGAAGTGTTTTATTTTTTGCCTGTGAGAAGACAGCACAAATTGTCCCATTCCTTAGAGGTCACTGAAAATAGGGTTGATGATACCATACCCTGTGCACACAGGGTGCCTAAACAGTCCCCTTCCATTCCCATGCAGCTAACAATTGTGTCATTTATGTAAATAAATGGGAATTTACCTGTCCATGTGTATCCCCTGCAGACTTGCCAGCCTCAAACTTTAAAGCTAGACCAAAATCAGCAATACAAGCTGTAAGATTATTTTTCAGCAGCACGTTCTTGCTTTTGATGTCCCTTTCAAGTTAAGGAAAAAAAAAAAAAACACATTAGAGAGCTAGAACATGAAATACCATATAAAATTCTAAGGGAAAAAAAAAAATATAGTAAAGAATGTTATAATACAGAAGGCAAGAAAATTATAAAGCAGCAATTTAAAACCCAAAAGAAAAGTAATAAAACCTAGGAGTACACTTGCACACCTTCCTTCTTATGGAAACACAGGATACTGCAACTGGAACTATAATTTTATGTTTCATTTTAAAACACAGATTTATAAGCACATACAATACAGAAACAGAATAAAATGGAGTTACTGGATGCTTTAATTGCAACTGTGCTTTGTTTGTCCAAATACTTGGAAACAAAACACTTGGAAAAATGAATCTCCATTGTCTCTAACAAGCAGAAACATGATTTCCTGCAGAAACAAAAGAGAATGGACTCGATCCAGGGACTCCCATCTGTCCTGCTGTACCTCTCGCCCTGCCATCCATTTTACCATCACTCAAGCAGCTTTGCTCAGGAAATTCCAAATCCTGCAGGATCTGCATCTCTCTTACTCTGCATGCCCATCTTTTCTTTGGTTGCCACTATCATTTCAGCTCCCTACTTTTATTAATAGCTTTATTATCTACCTCTTAAAAAAACCCAACCAAACAGCAATTACACTCAGCAAGAGGTGTATCATCACTGGCAGTAAATGCTTCTGTCTGATGAATACATTCAATATTACTTAAAGTTATGGATATAAGGGTTTTAGTATTACTTAAAGCTAGGTTTATATGTTTCAGTTGTTTCAAACAGCTATAATGCAAAATTGAGGGTACTTCATTAACTGTATAAAAAAAAACCCCATAAATTGTGACATTAACCACAATCACCACACCAAGTCCTGCCAACATCAGCCAGATTCTAGCTTAGGCTGAGAAGATTTTTCTTATTGTTTTTTTTCTCTGAAAGGAAGATATCCCAGAGTAATTATTTGAATACTTCTATTTCATATCCTCCAGCTCCACGTTACCTGCCCACCCCAGGACAGGTCACACACACTGTACCTGTGGGAGATGGCAGGTTTGTGCCCATCCTTCAGCCCTGGTATGTCCTCGTGGAGATATGCCAGGCCTCTGGCCATGGTCTGGGCAATGTGACACAGCTCGTTCCAGGAGACCACGTTAGCCTTGAGAAAGTCTGTTAAGGAGCCCTGCACAGAGACACAGGAAAAAACATTCCAAGTTTGATTCCATGCTCAGAATTCATACCTGAATTCTTTATCCAGACAACCCTGCTGCTGCAGGTGTGACTCAGAATGCTCCAGGCACAGGAAATTACAGGTGAGATTCACCTTCACCCATCTTGCTGAACTGTGTGTGACCATTCTTGAGGACTCTTACCTGCCTGTCTTTTCTTATGGACCAGCAACACAACAGTGGTTGTGTCTGAAACTAACCCAGCTTCACAACAGAGTGAAATAAACACTCTGAACAAACAGAGATAATATAAAGTAAAAATTATTCAACATAAAGCTCTTCTCTTCAAACTCACTTCCACAGCCCACCCCACACACATTTTCATGGATTTACATATTATCCCGTTTGTGAGATGTCTCTGTGTGAAAAGCCAACACAAAAGGGAAAAATGAACAAAGAGCTGTCAAAGTGTGGAGGCTACACTTGAAAAAAGGATTTTATTTTCCATCAATTAGAGTAATCTCAGATACCATTTTTCCAATAGTAATGAGATTTTTAAAACTCTTTAGACAAAAAAAAGAAGCAAACAAAAAATGGCAATAACCTTTCAGAAAGGCAGATTAGCTTGGTATTACCTACTGGATTGTGAAAATCTGTCAAAAATTTTAGTAGCTAGTTTTCTAAATTATTAAAGCAGTGGCACAAGTGGGACAAAAATGGCAGAATGAAGAATGTAGCACTCCATGCTAGGAAGAGATCTGTGGCATGGCCTTCATGCATTAGCATGTCCATATTATACACATCTTTATTTTCTCAAATCTGCTACAGGTAACATCTTCTTAATGCCTCTTGCCAGTTCTAGATTTTTTTTGTTCATTTATTTTTTTCTCTTTGTACTTACAGCCTGGTGACAGTTAAACATATTAAAAAATCCCCATATCTAAGTGACTAAAATAAAACAGTGAAATTTATTCTTAATTATGTTTCTTAGTGTGGTTATCACACTAGAATTCCTAAGTATTACTTCATTCTTATAGACTCAAATCAATCAACACAAGTAAAAAATAAACTAACACAAAAAAAAGGAGGAGTTTGTTTAGTTTAGAGAAATTTAGATGGGCAATATTCAAAACTACACATTTTTAAAAGTAAAAAAGTAGCATGAATTTCTGTTTGTTTTCTAAAACAACTCCTCTATTAAATACAAACTGATGACAATTTTTTCACCTGTCCAAAAATAAATTTCACTATATTCATCTCCAATGAAGAGAGACAAGTTAAAAGCACACAAGCACTATTTTAAATTTCCTTAGCTGTCTCAAGCTGGTCCTCACAACAAATTTCTAAGGCTGTTCTTCCTCTGCCACAATCACAAAAAAAAACCCCAAAGTCCAGTGAGCACTAAAGATACCTTTTCATGAAATGCTGTAATCAACCAGAGGTCGACATCAATGCTGGTGCCTCGTTTCTCTGCACCAATGAACTGCAGAATGTTGTCATGCTTCATTCCAGGCAAACTGTAGATTTCATACTCGTTCTGCCACGACTGTTTGTCCTTTACAGAACAGAACACAGCAAACCAAGTTAATCCCACAAGAATGAGGACAAGAGGTTCCTTCCCTGGCAGAAGGCTCCTCCTGAAATTTATTGGGCATTTGTAAGTGATCTGTCAAATAGACTGAAACTTTTTTGGCAAGACAGGATTTGCTCCTGAAAAAGAAACCCCACAAAGTAGTGCATGGGATAAACAGGATGAGGCTGGTTATTTAAAAATTACAGTAGTTCAGATTAATAACAATATTTATGCTATGAACTCCTGAACTAATGTATACAGAAATATGAAAACCTGTCTTTCTTCACACCTATTACATATTCTGGAAAACTGTCTGAGGACTTAAAATTGTGTAAACAAGCATCCACTGTTGAAAACAACCTCAACAACCTCAGCTATCACAGATGTGAACCACAGGGACACAGAAAGCTGTAGATCAGGACTGGAGTCTACACAATGCAAATCATTACAACTGGTCTTATGAGGATGGTTGAACGTTTATATTTTATTCATCTACAAGAAGCCTAGGAAGAATTAGAAATGGGTTTTCCTTAATTAAAAATAATGAACAAGGTCTCAGCTTGAATTTATGTTGTGCTGATGGCTGAAAGCAGCATAAATACATGACATTTCTCCTAGAAGAACAAGAACCTGCAGATGTGTTTATTCAGCAAGGCAACACTTGGTTAATCATTGGAAAATCCAAGCACATTTCTTCACCTCGGGTAGCAGTGGGTGTTTCTAATTAATGTAAAATCTATCCCAACATCACTGCCTATGACCCCTTTGCATTCTTTAACTGGACTTGGATCTTAAAATTATGAGTGCAATCTATTCTCAAACATGGCTTTCAGAGGGCACGTGCTGGGAAGTCAATATTACTTCACTCAGCTGAGGCATACTTAGTTGGAACAGTCACCTTATACGTTTGCATTTCAGGACATTACTTCTAAGTACATTTTAATTTAAAAAATATTAACAAATTCTTCTCAGCTAAGAGATGTGTGACAGCCAGTTAAAATTATTCATGCCAAGGATGTAATTTTATGACTAGAAACATCACAAAGTTTGCTTCAGTGATGTTTGCTGCACTAAAATCCTTATTTTAATTCAATAAATCTCCACCTGCATATTTATCAGCCTAGGACATTTCTGTCTAGATTTACAGTATATACTGAAAATTCCCTCAAATAAAAGCCTCTTCCTGTGCCTAGAAAAGCTGGTTCAACATTACAGTATTACAAGGAGCACTAGGAACTTCTGCTTACCTGAATAGGGAATATTTTGACAGCCACATACTCATTTAGTAGTTGAGCTTTCCATACACAACCAAACCTTCCCCTGGCTTTGATCTCTAGCAGCTGCAGTGGCTTCAAACCCATCAAAGGTGAAGGTGGTGGTGGTCCAGGATCCTGAAATCAGGTTCAATTTATTAATTTTGCTCTCATTTGTACTATCTACAAAGACAGCAGTAGAAATAAAGGCTTGTAAACTGGAAGAGACTCATATCATGTACCCAACCCTTAAAGAAGGCAGAAACAAAACCCCTTCTCCACAGGAAAGGAAAGTGAGGTTTGAAAACATGCTCAGAATTTATCTGCAAGCAACAGCACAACAGTTACAGGATAAATCTCTCCAACCAGGTGTAAAAGCACAGCAGAAATTAAGGAACAAAGATAATCAAGTTTTACTAATTACATATAGGACAGAGAATTCAAATGAGCACCTTTGGTACATTTAGGGGGCTGGCTGGTTTGACATGGGTGACCTGTTTAAGCCCTTAGTTCAAGGGCCTGGTGACTGGACTCTACACAGCCACAAGGTCCATTTCCACAGGGCTGATGCCCTCAGCCAGGAAGCAGAAGATGTCCACATGAGCTGTCTGCAGTCACTGGTTCAGTTCTCACCAGCCACTGAGTCAATACCAGCACAGCTCCACTTCAAAAGCTCCAATGCTTACTGGGAATGCAAAGCTGCAAACCAGTACACAGGGAGGCAATGCCACCACAAGGTCTCCCAGGACATAACTGATGTTTCTTTCACTCAGGAACCACTGACCACGTGCACAGTGCAGGCGTTTGGCACAGGAAACTGAACAGCATCACCTTTCACAGCCAGCCCTCAATGCTGGTGTGAGGAACCTCAGCTCTGAGCCTTCAGCCTACTGATCAGCTCCTACTGCTCCCAGCTTCAGTTCCTGCAGACAGTCAGTTGGCTACTGAAACGTGAGTACTTGGCCATACCCAGGGCTAGCTCAAAAATTCCTTCTCAAACGACAGCACAAGCTGGGCAGTACAACTGCAGATGGCACAAAACTTCTGCACAGAACAGGGTGACCAGCAGGTAGAGGGAGGTTCTCCTCCCCCTCTCCTCTGCCCTAATGAGGCCACATCTGGAGGACTGGGTCCAGTACGGGGCTCCCAGTTCAAAAGAGACAAGGAACTACTGGAGAGAGGCCATCAGAGGCTACAAAGCTGCTGAGGGGCTGGAGCATCTCTGTGCCAGGACAGGCTGAGAGCCCTGGGGCTGTGCAGCCTGGAGAAGAGGAGCCTGAGAAGGGATCTGACCAATGTTTACCAATAGCTAGAGGGCAGGAGGCAAGAGGCTGGGGCCAGACTCTGCTCAGTGGTGCCCAGGGACAGGACAAGGGGAAACAGGCACCAACTGGAACCCAGGAGGCTCCACCTGAAGAGGAGGAGAAAATTCCCAGTGAGGGTGCCCAAGCCTGGAGCAGCTGCCCAGAGAGGCTGTGGAGACTCCTGCTCTGGAGAGATTCCAAACCCTCCTGGCTGTGACCCTGGGCACCCTGCTGTGGGTGAGCTGCTGGAGCAGGGGGTGGGACAAGATGATCTCCAGAGGTCCCTTCTGACCCCACCATGCTGGGATCCTGTGTGACATTCTGTATCACAAACATCTGAATATACCAAGCAGATGTTCTACTTTACTGCCAGATGTGCTTCTTTCCAGACTGTCCTCCCCTCTCCATTCTACCATGTTAGATTAGCTCCTATCTACATAAACTTCTTCCCTACTATGAACAAACACATGAGATCCATTTACATACACCTCTGCATCAAAGGATATCATCCTATGCACAGAACCAGAAAAACTTGATCTCTTCTCTCTGATCCTTCTTTTCTGCAGGCAAACACATCAGGTTCTGGTGTGCAGGGGTGGCTAAGCAGAATTACCAATACTGTCACCACAAGGTGCAGCTCCACCTTCCTTGCAGGTGCCCTCGAATGAGTTTAACCACTATTTGTTCCTCAGTCCAAATGACCACAGAGAGCCAGTGATGACAGCACGGGGGCCAACTGCTAGACCACAGACAGGAGGAGGGTGAGTGGCTGCTTCTGGTGGCACTGAAGGTCTGTGGAGACCACAACACCCTACCACAAGTCTCAACATTACATGTGAAAGAAACAAACATACAAATGAAAGGTGGGTACTACTTCTAAATGATATCCACACTGCACAACACAATGAAAGAAACCCTTGAAGTCTACTGTTCAAAAAATGTCCTCTTGGCTTCTCTAGTTTTTCCCAAACAGTCACAGCAGTAACACTGTTTTAAGGAGAAAGAATGAAAAACACTGGAGTGGTTGCTGCTACGAAACAACTGAGAGCACTCAAGAGTTAAGTATTTGAGCACTTCAGTCTGCAGCCTAAAAATCTTGTGCATGTTAAAGACGTTTTTGGAACAACTGTGGTTTTAAGTATACTTTACTACTGTGAGAATGGAGAGGAGTGTTTCTGTATCCAGCACGAGGTTTGAGGAGTTTAGGTGCAGGAATAAACAACCATTCCCTTGTTTCTCATTCAGCAACAAATACATCCTTCAAAAAGCACAAGTTTCACAGAGAGACAGTTTTATGGCAATGTAAAGAAATTGTAAGCTAATTCCACAAATCAATAACTGTAAGGAAAGATAGAGTTTGCAGTTTGAATTAGAGACACAATACTGTCCCCATGTAAGTATGGAATCCTTTCACAAACAGGACAGCGACAGATGCTTGAAGTTGTTACATCAAAATTGCAGGGTTTAAACTGGACAAACAACACAGAAAATGAAGCTTGAGAGTTTTCCCTCCTGGGCTGCCTCTCATTCAATGCCAAAGTGCTTTATGAATATTTCAGGCACCCGGGAAACCACCGTCCTCAATTTGTAATAGTTACAAGCGAAACGAGAAACAAGATGCCCAAATTCACTCACAAAGGCCTACTTTCACTGGCTATTTTTAAGAATCCTGCTATTTTAGGAATCCTGAGCACTGTGCAGGATTTGGGGATTTGACATCAGGCAATCAGAAAGCTAATTTTTAAAGTTTTGAACCCAGTGACTTGCCTAAATTAACAATTTCTGGGAAGTAACTCCAAATCTCACTTTGATTTAGTGGCTAGGACAACGTCCTTTGCTTTCCATGCCCACCACCCAAACAAATCTGCTGATATTCTGAAACACACCATGTAAATTTATTCTCAGCCATCAAGCAAATGACCACTTAACACTTCTTAAAGATTCAGTGAAAAAAACTGCAGCATGGTCACCTGAGAGAAGGCAGAAACTCCTCAGTAAAACGTGGTCAGCAAAAACCGGGGCTTCTTACTTTCACGTTAGACCACGATAATTTTCATTTACCTAAATTTCATCATTTCCTAGAAAATCCTGGTATCTCAAGATCTTTTCCCCACTACCTTTTATAGCCACCTCCTGTGGTTCCCTGCACGTTTCCCTTTCATGCTGAAGCATTTCTAGGAAGTCAAAACTTCCGGCTTTTTCTTATGAAGAAGCAACACCCGCCCCCACACACAAATCAAAACAAATCCTGGTTTCAGATGCAAAGTGTAATTGCCTTCTGTTAACAGAGCTAAAAAGAATAGTTTCCTCTTTTTTTTTTTCCATTTTTTCTTTTCTGAACAACTTTGTTCACAACCAACAGGCATTTACTCTAGAAGGACAGGCACTATTTTTGTCCAGAAACACTCCTTGACAGCATTTTCAACTTGCTCTCCTTCTAGGTAGAAATGCTTAGCGTGCCACAGGCATCATTACTTTTGTATGGCTTTTGAAAATCTGCTCTGTGGTGCCAAGGCTGATGATGTAACGTGAGCAAAGATATAAAGTGGATATATCAGTCCAACAGCTTGCCACAGCTGTCAAGGAGCAAGGGCCCAGTTTCCCTTTCCCGAGCTTTCCCTGTGACCAGCTGATGCTGGTGCTTGTTTGGCCACTCAGCAAATCCTGACAATACGCTGTGCTGCCCAAAACTTCATTTATTTGTACTAAAACTCAGGCTAGTGTTCTGACAGTTTAGGAAATGGAGCCAGCTTGCAGCAAGGTCCAGGTTACAAGAAGAACGGCAGGGCAGAGGGGAGCAGGGTTCTCTCCTTCAGGAGTGGTGAGCCCACAGAACTGCACCCCAAGTGCTCCATCTCCTCAAAGACATGCTCTGTCCTCACCCTGGGGCAGTTACATGAGAAACACTCCAGCTGCTCAAGGATCTACAACTGGACAAAAAGCAGAAGCAGCCACATGGGCAAAGAGTACTTGAACTGACTAGGTCATATGATGCATCAACTAGGTTTTCCTCGGCCTTTAGCTCAAAGCCCTAAGTTTGTGTTGTATGGTCACCTCAACACCATGGACATCGAATTAAGTTGTGAACTGTAAGGATTTCAAATCTCAAGCAGGGCTTTTTTGGTTCTGATCTTTATAGCTGGGAGTCGCAGTCAGCTGCCAGGTAGCACATCCCAGGCATGCTGGAAAAAGAACAGAGGGGAGGAAGTTCATTGAAGAATGGTAACTTCCAGAAATGGGTTTCCCTAAGCATCTTCCAGAATGTTCTCCAGATCAGAGAGAAGCTTAACAAAGGTGAAACTACGACTCCATTAGGAACACAACCCAACACAGTCTGTCAGCACTGGAGTTTATCTCCAGCCACGTCTCTCACTTGGCGACGGAATCGTGCGATTCACCACGTACAACAAAGGGAAAAACAGACCCCTTATCCCAACAGGCCTGTACACAGACATGCTTCTCTTCCCTGACTCCACCATATAAACAAGCTCTCAAACTTCCAGGGCACATGCAAATTTTCTTTGTTAAATGGTGCAACATTTCCCCTTGGTTACATTTCTACAGCTTATATTGTGACAAGGGCTGACAGGTTCTCATGGAAGGAGTCTGATGACTATCTCAGTTGTTTCCTCCCTTTCTAGTCTGGGACTGGTTGATTTCCAACCAGATAATCTATAAGATCCAAAACCAGTAAAAGGAGTAAGAGAGTTCTTAAATTTTGTCATTGACTCTATGACTCGTATCAAACTACATTTGGTGACAATTTTTCTCATTTTCACCATGCAAAATCCACTATTTTATTGCACTTTGCAAACATGTTCCCCAAAGTCGTAC